CATAAGTGGTAAAGTGCAATATATAAAGTTACAAAAATACAGTAATTAGAATATGTTAACATTTTTTTTGCAAAACTAGCATTGGTGATTATAAGACATTAACAGTTTAAAGTATTCTGTCGATATGAAATAACTGACAAAAGTTAGGTAAGGGTTAAACAGTAACAGTAAATTAAGTTTATTATTAGTTAGGTTTATTCGTAAGTGAGTAAGTTGTATCACGTCAATAAATCTGTGCTATTCAATAAAATATCAGTTAAATATATCACTAAAGAATCGCTTATTATCTTAGATAGTCTTTAGTTGTGGAAAAATTTTATTATAATATTTTGAACCATTTCATTTTAAGAGTGATTGTAGCAAACATCAAAATATAAGGGAAAGCTGTTTTGTAAGATGAAACTAATAAAATGTGTAACGTTATGAAATACAATACGAATTCCTAAAAGAGTAATAAATTTTCAACTTAAGAAATATTAACAAAAAAAATATAAACCTAAATTTTTTCATAGTTAATTAACTAAGAAGAAACTTATTGCTTTAGTGTCATGTTTTTAATACTGTATCATTAGCTACTGTCTATCTGTCGTTGGATTTAATGCTTAAAAAACAAGCACATAATCTACTCGTAATAACTATATGAATGCTTATAACTTAATTTTTTCTTATTACATTGAAAATCCTTTTTGCTGACAGATGTAGTTCAAAAGCTCAACCTGACTTTGAATTCTGTGTTAATGCTTTATGAATTAAATTAAAATAATTTAAATCACTATAATTTTTGTATAAATTTGACATAACTTATTTTCTTGATTACTTGATGTATATTTTTTATTTCTTAGAAATATAACAAAAAAGTTCGTTTGTTATTTAAAATGTGTCATTGACTGTAGTAAGCTTCCAATGTATTAAAAAAGATTTTATCGTTTAGTTTTTTGTAAAGGGCATCTTAGCCTCAATACTTTCATTAAGCAAGTCAAGTATTTCCCAAACTTAGCTACTTCCTAATCCCATAGTGGGTCTTATGTATACATAATAAATAAGTTACTACTTCCAGTTATACCCAGGAATAGCTGAGGAACAAAACTCCTAATAATGAATATATGTTGTTATAAATTTAAAAATCAGTACTCAAAGGCCAAACCTTTCTGAAGTACTAAAGCAACTAGTAACACAATTAACAAGTATGCTATTATATATGACATTTTGTAGGGTGAGGAGTATTGATAGGCCTTTCAATACTGAAAGGTTTCTGAGAGATTATAAAAGAAAGTAAAATTAAAATTTATAGTGATAAAGTTTAATTATTGATCAATAAGAAGAGATAAAAATATTTATCTTATTAATCTATTTAAAGTATCTATATAAAAGTATTTAATTTGTTACGACCTTTTATGTGTTTAACAAGGTAGGATTAACTGTCTTGTAAAATATTATACGTAAAGAATTATGGACGTACATACCTCTCAATTTTCAACGTTTGTCTAAACCCTACTCTACAGTAGTCTGAACAACTCACGATTACTATAAACTCCAAGAAACACGAAGACATTTCTGATATCGCAAATCACTAAGTCGGAAAGCTAGTCTACTTTAAAGCCGAGGAGGGTTTGCAAGAAACTCTCTAAAGAAGTTCTCTTAGTCTCTGATGTTAAAACCCTACACTACACAATGATAAGGCGTTTGACCGTCACTCGCTGAAGTCTAACAAAGGAGACATCATTATGAAAATCACCCACCTCTAAGACACTCGACCAAACTTCAAGAATAGGTGCAATAGCAAACCGAATTCTTTCTCTTGTGAGACCGTAAAAGCTGATACACAAATATAACAAAATTTATATCATTACATAATTATTGTTCTGTACGTTATAAAATAATTCAGTACATTCTAGAACTAAACTCACTAGAACTTCATTCAAGATTTAACTAATTAACCTATAGTGTAGTCCAGGGATTAATTTGTTTTAAAATACTCGTAGGTTGAACAAACTTAATGTATCTCATGAGGTTTAATAAGCCAAACAACATTTAATTGTATTTGGAATAAAAATGTTCCTAGAATAAAAAGAAATATAAAAAGTAATTCCTATCTTCATCTGACTTCTATTTGAGCATAAATAAATTTATCATAGTATTAAAAAGCTGAAAATATGTACATAATATAACTTTCTCCGTATTGAAAGAAACGCGACGAGAATAGAAAGGCTTGAAAGAACATCTAATATTAAACGAAAGTTTTGTTCAGTTGAAATATTCTATGAGATTACAGTTTTGATATGACTCACCAAACTTGACCAAAAGAGCAATAAAGTTATGCTTTAATAAATAAAAAGTTACTCTAATGAAAAATAGTTTCGTATTTCCCAAGTTATAAACTTTATTAAAGTTTTTATATGAGACAGCGATGAGTATTTTGTTTGTACTTCTTAATTAGATTTCTCAAAGCCGTCCCCAAAGTTAAGATGTCTAGAAAATTTTAAGTTTTTTTTTCGTGTTAACTTAAATAATATTTTATAATAAGTTTAGTGTAGTTTCTTGCATTTCTTCTTTCGTATTGAGTATAAATTTACCTTCGACAATAGTCAAGTACAGTTAAAAGGGTAGCGATAAAATTGCAACTCAAAAAACATTACTTTAATACAAGATCTTCTAAAAATTTAAAATATAGAAATATAATTTGGAAATTCAATTAATTATACGTTATTGGTAAATCAGTTTAGGGGTATTTCATTAGTAAATTTCAATTAGTAGATTTCAATATATCAGACACATAATACGGTTTTTATGTCCTTATCATTATACTTTTAGTATACTCGAAGTTACTGCTACATTGATAATATGGCATCTATCAGGCATCATAGGATATAATATCGTAATAACTTCGTTATTTCTTAAGAAATCTGTTTATTTACTTTTTTTTTAAGGTATATTTTGAATTATTTTGTAACACGTATATAAAAACATTATTATTGTGGTGCCAAAAATAAGTAAAAAATTCTTCAACGTGCTAAGAGTATATCAGGTGATGTTTAAAACTGGCTTCACCGTTGATGTAAAGGGAAACATATTATAATATAGGAAAAACACCAAGGTGTATTGTTACCATACTATTAAAATTAAAATAAATACTGTCACAAAAATATTATCTAATCCAATGACAATTCTACACAATTGAAAGAATTATATCATATAATAAATCTTTCGAAATAGCAAGCAGTAATGAGGTAGATTATTAAATCAGTGTAACAATATAATAACTGAGAAATGTGGTTGGAAGATAAATATTGATACAATTAATCGAAGGAACTAACAAAGAATGGAATAATAATTTCAGTTATTATAATAAATAATTATTTATGAATGCATACAAATTAAACGAATCTGTGATTGAGGTGTGTGGAGATATAAAATATTAGTAATTGTTTCATTACATATGTATATATACATATATAGGGTGTCTATAATATGTAGGATGTACTGTAATAAATAAGGTCTCATAAATAATATCGGTTCCCAATGTTCTCTTTGTTTAACAAATAACCATGCGGTAAGAAAGCCTGTATGCATGAAATATAGCCAATCGTATTCTGTGGTTTTAAGTCAACGTTCACTGAGCTCTTTGAGTCGATTGGTAAAACCATTTTGTGAACTTGGATGCAAAAGGTTAGCACGAAAAATTTTTAGTATCTCTTTTGGATTAATTTATTTTCATAAAAATATTTATTTATTGAAATGAATAAAAAGTTATCTAAGTTTACAAGGTCCGAATTAACTTCTTGTTGTGGTAGGAGTTCGATATAACCAAGTTCTTTAACGGATTTCAATGAAAGTATATGAGTTGACATTATCCTTGTTTTAGAAGAACCCGTTTTTGGTAAACTAAACCGGAATATTCCAACAATAAAACCTCATATATTCTTATGAGCTATCCACTACACATAACGCTATTGATCGTTTGACCCGATTGTTTTTGTGATTTTTAAACTAGACCCCTCATACTTTCGCAAAAAAACCTGTTTTCACTGAAACCTCTCTCAATGACGGGTTCTGATAATTATCTTTTGTTTAAACACTGTTTTCTATGATCCTCGCTCGTGAAGAAAGACATGTAGTGTAATAAAATAATATTAATTTCTGTAAAGCATATAGCTCGCAATTGTCTAATAATCTAAGGTTCAGTCACCAAAAACATAAAATCACCTGCCTGTGACAACATTCATTGATTTTACTATTGCCTGCTGCACTCAATAGGCAAGCAAATCAAGCTATAATCGGGGGTAGCGGTTAAATAACTGGTCTAACTGACAAACACTTTCATTTTACTAAATTGTTATTACAATTGCTGTCAATTAAGAAAAACGTTTGTTAAAATTTAAAAAATTGTAATTAATGTCCCAGTATATCAGAAAATCATAGTTTCATTTATAAGTGGACTCGCATATATCTTAGACATCGTTACTATATGTGAAATCACTGAAACACCCGAAAACTTTTAAACCTATATAACATGTAAAAAATCTTATATAAAAATTTACATTTCTTCCCTTAAGTCACATTCAAAGACTAGACAATCGTCAAACTAATACTATAAAGCTTCATTAAATATCTTTGTACAATAATAAAAATAGCCTTCGATTAAAAAAAAAAACATACTCGTATATCTGACTTCCAAATAACAAACTATATTTATGTTTGTAGGATTATATAACACACAACGATAGTTTCACCAGTTACATATACTATTGATATATTGGTTAATTTCACTAATGATTTGTACAAAAAGATCTATTTGTAATTTGATTATAAAATTAGTTATACTCGTATTACATGAACCTCTGTACCCGGCTTTTACAAACCCTATTTGGACTTGATCTTAAGACGAAACCTCTCAGCATTCCATGGATTCACCGTGCGGGTGCCGGGTCCATCGCGTTGCAGGGGGAGGAGCTTCAACAGTGCCTGGGACTTGCGACCCAAGTGTAGGTTTAAGGGGCCCCTTAACTAACGCGCGTTATACGCTCACCTCCACTGTCCAAGCTCCTCTCCCTACCTAACCAAATTTGAAAAGAACCTACTAGGGCTGCCTTCGACGTACGTTCTAAGAATGAATTAATGTTAGTTCTGGACAGGCCCAAGTCTTTTAGTAGGTTATAGAGAGATTTAGCTGTTATACCTCTCGCTCCCACCTCTACCGCGTACAAATCTACTACGAACCTATTTCGAGTGAGTTCGTTTGTGAGCTCGTAATATTTGTTGACCTTGATGGTATGGTCTTTGGGGATGTTGGTTTCCCAAGGGACCGTAAGCTCTATCATCACTACGCGCTTTAAAATTCGCGAAAACAAAAATATATCCGGTCTGGAGGCCGACGCACAAATATCCTCGGGGATTTTATATTGTTTTTCATACGTGTCCATCATTATAGTCCAATCCGACGCCGCTTTAAGGATGGAGTAAGGCTTGACGTTTGATTTTGTAGCCCTAGTGCCTTCTTTCACAAAACCTACTGATCGTTCGTTTGTGGTTATTCCCTTTTGCGCTCTGGCTACCGAAAGACTAACCGCTTCACGTATGACTTCTAGAACCCTATCGTGACGACGCGAGTATTGACCGCTGTCAAGGAGTACCCTACATCCCACCAGCAGATGCTTAGCAGTTCCAACTGCCTTTCCACAGATATAGCAAGTTTTTTCGGTACTTTTACCCCATCTTACTAAATTACTCTGATCTGGGAGAGTCATCTGGAACGCATTGAGATAGAATTTTAGCAATGCTGGCGACCAATCATAAATTAAAGTGCGCCATTTTAATGCTAATGGGATGCAAAAATCTCGTATGTCTAACCACTCGTTCTGCATTTCTAAATTCATTGCATGGATCTTATATTTATCATTCTCGTCTTGCCGAATAAAAGACTTCAATATATCCGCATCTTGGACTTTCCTATTTGATCCTAACCCCGCTCTGTTACTTTGCGCTCCTATCATAAATTGCTTATGGAATTGAAGTCGTGACTCTAGCTCGGGGGCATCTTCATCTTTTGGGAGCGATGTCACTATGTCATCATGGGATTTCCCCAGGATATATCTCTTGGAAACTCTTAGGTGTTTATAGAGCTCCGATGGCCTTTTTAGACTCATCCCAAAACTATTGCTTCCCCTAAATAACGCCGATGAATCAGCTGTTAGAGCGAGCCCGAGCCACAACTTCAACATCTTTATGACGCCTGCATCTAACTTTGACAAAAGGGTTTTATTAAAATCATAGACGAGGAAAGGCCAATTCAAACGTGAAGTTAAGTAATTCTCGTAGATCCACGCTTTTTTGACGTTACTTATCAGTTGGCTATCTACCTTGTTAAGATCGTTCAAAAAGCTATCTACTATTCCTTCTAAAGATGGAGTACGGCCTATATTATCTATCTTACGACCGAGAAATTTAAATGGTGCATTTTCCGTAACCGTAGAAATGCATTGACCGCCTAACGATAGTCCCGGATCGTATGAGGTGTATCTTGTATTCCGCCTACCAAGACACAGACAGTGACATTTACTGGGTTTTGTCCTCAATCCATCCGTCCACTCACAGAATTTATCCACTTCATCCAATAGTACCTGACAGTGTTTGGGGTTACGTGTCAGTATTGCGAGATCGTCAGCGAAGGCTAAAATGGATTCCGTGTATTTATTATTAAACTTAAACCGATAACCCCATTTTTTCTCGTTACAGATTAATTTGTCTACTAAGATGTTAATTACGATATTAAACGCAATTGGAGATAGACAACAACCTTGAAACAGTCCTACATTATAACTCAAACTTTTTGAAGGGCCTTCTTTAGTTATTATAGAAAACCTTAATTTTGAGTAATACGACGCGATCATATCTCTAACTAGGGGTGGAAAGTTGTATTATTTACTGTCTTTAAATGTAACTATTTTCTGTCGACTATTAAGTAATTTTCAATCCAGAAGCAAAAAGAATCATATAATCACTAATTTATTAAAGTTTTTCAGTAAGTAGTCTTTCATTAAGTTTATAATTTAAGAGTTCCACTGTAATCTTATAACATAATGATTGGAGGAAATTATCACTTCAAGCTCTGAATAGATCATTAACGACATTTTCTACTGTCGTGTTCAAACTGTGATGTTGTCAGAATAATTGGCCAGAAGTATTTCACACCCAAGACAGCTTGTCGATTTTGTTCTACGTCAGCATTACTTAATGAAATAACTATGATGTCATCATTTATAATTTCTACTGTATTTAGCTATGGAAGACGATAGTTATAAAGGAAACAAAAAAAATTATAAAATTAAGAACTCATGTATAGGTCAAATAATGCAGTAATATTTATGAAATAGTCGGTTCGACTATTATTAATATTAGATTAAAAAGTTTTAAAATATTTTTATGAAATATTTTATACAATTTATTGAGGTTATAAGTTTTAACATACTCACTATAAACTACAAAATTAAACATCATTTTCATATATTAAAACAAGATTTTTCAAGTACTATAAAAAGAATAACATGACGCATACTTTTATGAAGGCACTTGAGTTTACTGGAAAATGAATGTTAAGTTATGCATACTAATATATTATATTAAATAAAATGATGATACTCAAAATGTACTGTAATTATTGTATTCCTGATTTTTCTTTCTGGTTGATGGTTTCTCTACCTCTTTAATTTTGATACAAAGCGCATGTTGTAAGTTACTTTTTGTGCTAGATTTACTAAAATTCTTCCTCGTAACGCACTATTACTCAATAACTTCACTTTTTTGCATTATTAACATTAGTCTATTGATATGTGATAGCTATAGTTGAGTAAAAACGTTTAGGACTACTGAAAGCTCTGACATGAAACGACACCGAACATTCAAAGGTATAACGAGTTAGATCTTAAGGTATTTTCTTATATACCGTTTTTCTTTGTTTATGTCTTAGATGTTTAAACACATCGTCAATTAAATAGTAAAACGATAAATCTTCTCTGTGAAGTACCTTATAAAAAAGAATAAATATTATGAGTGTTTAGTAATTTTTATTTGCCGTGTTAGTTAAAATTTTCAAAATCGTATTTTTTGAACAAAATGTTAATAATCACTGAACGTTATAATACAAAATGTGTTTGGTGGATTTGTATGAAATTCTGAGCACTAGTATAGATTTCTTTGGAAGCATTATATTCTTTTGTAATTTTTTATCTGTAAACAATTGACAATTGAATTTTTCGAGTTGATTTTTAATGACATAAAATAAAATAACTATTTTAAGATTTAGTACTCATCATGTTACCTGGAGATAAAATGTCATACAAAATGAATATTTTTTGAGTTATGTATGTCATATGTTCTATACTTTTCACTGTCATTATCGTGTCTATTATATACCTGTATCTTATCCATCTACAACAAAATATTTACTTTATCTAAACAGAATTCCATTCTTATAAAATATATATAATATATTGAATTTTTTTAGAAGAAAGCCGTTGCGATGATTAAAACATAATAGCTGGCGACTTGTAATATTTTACAACTTTGTTAAAACTTGTAATTTAAAATGAAAAGGATTTGAAAGTAAAAAAAAATGTAGACTGCTTCTGACTTAAAACTATATTGCAAAATGCTCATTGAGGCTTGGATAACAGACGGAGTGGTTTAGAGAGTTAAGTTAAATACAAAGTTTTATTATTAAAATTGTTTAGTAAAATTAAATACAAGCTTTTCAGATTCACATTAATTTTCACTGCGATATTACGTTACTTTCTCTGTTTACTACATGAAACATTAATTCCCTTTTCTATATTTTCCACTACCAAATATCAGTTATGGAATGATTTTTCTCTTCGGTATCTTGTATATATTGTTTAGAATTTATAAATAATAGAATTCTTGATAAAAAATTATTTTTACATCATAATATCTGATTTAATTTGAAAGAGTGGTTATGATAGTTGTCGTCGCTGCACATCGATTATGAATGTTAAAACTACACCTTAAGTATGTGTTTCATATATGTTATTATGCAAATATCAATATAAATATGTTGAGTAATGTATCAGTGAAAATATATCAGTTTGTGTTATTAATAGATACGTTGTTATAAATTTTACCCCCAATATTGACAAGTACGACAGACCACGTAATAAGCTAACTATTAAGCTATTTAATTCGATTAGAATATTTTTACTATGCAAAAACAAAAGAACCGTCGCGTCGTTAGGAATATGAAATTGAAGAAAATACTATACGCTCAACTAGTATATGCAATTTGAAGTCAATCGAGAACTTAAACACGCGTTTAGAAAGTTTCTTTAATAGATGAGGAGAACTAATTTGAACTTCTTCTTCTGTCTTCATAAATAATATATACTGTTAGAAGAGAGACCCTAAACAGGCTTATGGCATGGTTTATGTGACCTTTATAATAGCGTGACTATGGTTTGGAGGTACGATTCAAGAATATATACATTTCCGAGCATAACGTCAACTTTTCCGGTGACAATATCAAAGCCGCAGGGCTAACAGCTTTGACATGACAAAAGAAAATTATTGAACACTCCCGGCATAGCCGCTAAGTTGTACCGAGGCAATTACTCTCTTATCGTTGTAATTAGCTGTTTAAAGCTGTGAATGTTACATGTTATTACAGTTTTGCTATATTACGTAGAATTTATGGAGTATTTCGTTTAAAAGAAAGCACTTTATAAACATAAATATACATTAAGATTTCAAAAATGTTCTATGTATACAAATATATTATGAAAATGAATTTGAAAAAGACTAAAATATCATATTTGTAAATGCTTGTATATAATTTCATATTATTAGCTACAAAATATTATGTTTAACTCCCCTTATAAAATTAGCAAACAAACTAATTAATTTAACAATTTTATACATTGTGATTATTTTTAATAAAGCGGTTTCATAACCACATAGTATTTGTTAATTATAATATAAATATTTTGTTTAATATAATAATAACAAAATTATGTGGTCTAGGTATTCACGGTGTAATCGGATGACGCTAATACATTAATCCATATTTTAAATAAGTACATATGTATATAATATATAAAACGTTCGTTTTTTCATAATAAAAATATCGTTTAAATTATTAGAATTGGTATCAAGTATAAACTTTATATTTAAAATTTCACTTCGCATCCTCATTATTTTCATCTAGTAAATATTTAAGTAATGATACTTTTATCTCAATTTATTTATTTTGTGACAAAATGAAATTTAATGTAACAAATTTTATTTTGTTTTGTATTAATTAGAAGGCACAGAAAATGTATCTATGCTTAGTTTAATCCAGGACTGTAAATATAACAAGTCAAATTAACGTGCACACAAAATATCGCTTTAAATACGAATACTTATTTTCTAGTTAGCTTACCTTGTTTGGCTTGTGGATGGAGTCCGTCCCGCACGTTATTGCAATGGTTATCCTAAACGTGTCACCTAGAAACAAAAATGTTTTATTACAGACATGAACGTTCATGCATAATGGATAAAATATTATTTTAATTAGATCAGTTCTGGATTGAAAAATCTCATTGACACTGACTGTATGAGTTATGTGTAGATTAAGACAGAGTTCTTTTTATATGTCGTTTTATATAGAGTTATTTCTTATAGCTTATCTAAAAGAATCTATCATTTAAAATAAGTAGGAAATTATAACATAATTAAATGGGAGCAAACAAAAATTTGAGTGTATACTATATACATATATATGTATATTCTTCTATGGCAAATTTACATTGTCTAATAGTTAAGTTTATATATGCTTTACGTAGTTTTCATTTTTTTTTATATATGGTAATCCGAT